GGCACCCAGTGGCCTCTATGACAGCGGGCTCCTGCCCACTACTACTTACTCCCAGTTCACTGACTGATGGAAGACAAAACTCAGAACGGTGACTAAGGGAATTGTAAGTATCCTTTTTGGGAAACAGGTATGATTTAAAAGAAGCAAAATATGATGGCACCAATGGGAGAAATCGCTTGACCCCGTGATCTGACAATTTTTACAGGGGACCATTTCACCCCATCAGACAGAGGCATCAGAATCAGGTCCACTAGTTTACCTTTCTGTAAATACATGAAGTCTGTATATGGTATCCTGGAAGACTGCATGTGGTCCTCACATTAAACATGTGAGAAGCCACCCGTCCTGGCTCACACTGTAATCCCAGCACTTAGAAGGCTGAGGAAAGCTACAGAGAACTCAAGGTCAATTGGATTACCCAGTGAGATCAAGGCCAGACCAGCCCACAAGGCAAGTCCTCTCTGCCTTGGTGGGGGTTACTTATAATAATGTCAACTGTTAAACTACTGTGTTTAATTTTTACATGAAGGAGAAACTCACTTCCAAGTTCATTCAAACTTTAAAATCAAATCTGAGAGAGGTGTTTAAGTCACTGGTGAGTGTCGTACAAGTTCTCTCCCTAACAGAGGTATCATAGCTTTAACATTCCCTAACAATTCACTGTGAAACACTTGTCTACGCACACAGCTCTTGTCTTTGTCTGCCAGAGGGCTCCAGTATCAGGCTGGATCCCCTGGCAGTGTAGCGAAGGAATCCTAGGACCTGAAGGCTCCCAGGCAGGAACTTGGTGAAAGCAGAGAAAACACCCTAGGTGAGAAAAGCATCCAGGCATCACCCCACCCCAACGCACCAGCATTGGGACAGGGGTCAATCTTGCCTGTCTTTCTTGCCAGTCTATCCTTCCATCCCCTCAGGTGTCCTGTTTGGGTCCAGAGTAGGTTATGTCTGTCTCTTGACCTCCACCTTTCTTCACCCCCATCTTCTTCCTATCCCTACAGAGGCTACAAACACTTCTGCTCAATTCTTTAGCTATTCATAATCACCCAGGCAAAGTTCAACACCTTCGGGACTGTGGTGGGTTGTGGCTAGAATAAGAATGGTAACAAAAAGTGTTCTTGAGGCTCGTGCACAGAAATCTTTAAAAATTATCTCCCAGGGAACAGTATCTCCATCCCAAAAGGCTAAGCATAGGGCTTTACAATATTTAGCCTACATACTCATGCAGGTCAAATTGCAATGTCAGGGTCAGAAGTAGCCTGGGTTGGCTCACTGCTGAGCTCAGAGCTGCGCCTAGACACTGCCTGAAGAAACACACTTGACAACCCATCACCTCTTGTTCTGCATGGGAACGTCTTCTCGAGGGTTCGTGATCAGGAGCTCAACACGGAAGAAAATCCAGTAGCTAAATGCTTTGCCCTCGTGAAAGAAAATCCAAGATCAGATTGTTTCGCTCAATCACAAACCAATGAAAGAAAAGAACGTTAATACTTATAACAAGACGCTTTTTGTCAACTATACTGTTACCTTCAAGCGGTTCTAAGAAAACACTGTGCGTGAGAAAAGGTATGTAAGTCTCCCAGGCACACAGACAGCCACGCAGAGCCACTGTCTCCTTCCCTAAAGGAGAGATGCTCCAGTTCAAAGCCCAGTGGCTCTGGGGGACCCTTACACAATTCACACCAAAGAAGGCATCAAGCATGAAGTCCTACCATGGACCTCAGACCCGGTGGACTCCTTCAACAAGCATAAATCCGATATGGATGACAGTATGGAGCACAGGAAGTTAAGGGATGCAGTCTAAGGCAATAGTCTGCTGCTACCTTCACACAGCAGACACACTTTCTGTTCTGCACAAGACAGTCCATAACTAAACAGGAAGCCGCGAACACTCAGTCTCCAAGGTCTGCATTACAAGAGACACCTGGGAGACAGGAGGGGCTACAGAAGGCACCTTCACCTCTGTCTGGCCTACTCACTGTGGAAGTCGGCCTGTGGAGAAGGAAGCTATTGCACAAGGAGACCGGGAGTGGAGGTGCCTCCCCTTCTTCTGGGACTGCTTCAAAAGGAAGCTTCTGTTCAGATAACAAGGTCCCTCTTTGTCTGATAGCAAAGGCGATGATGACATATGTCAAACCACACAAACAACAGCAGGAACCAAATATTAACAACGGGAGACAAGCCAGAGAGGTAGCTCAGTGGTTAAGGGTGCCTGCCATCAAATCTGAAGATGGCAGATGAGTTCAATCCTTGGATCCTTGGGATTTACATGGTAGAAACAAGGAACAGACTGCTGTGGGTTGTCTTCTGACCCCATGCCCCCACCCGCCCAACACACACATACATGTTGTGGCACACGTGCCCTCATTTTGTGTGTACATGCACATATAAAACGGGCCACTTCTCCCTGAGTCCCAAAGGCTATGAAAGTTGATTCCTATTAATAAATAAATAAATCTAGAAGCATAGTTTTATCTGTATTTTTGCAATCTTTCACGCTTGATGCAAATGTTTCCAAAGACCTATGTGCTGAAACGGAGTCGGAAGCTCACAGCAGAACCGTCACTCACTGGAGAGATTTGCTCTGCTTGGCAAAACCCTGGAGGGCAGAGTGAGAGCCAAGGGGAGGAAGTTTGAGAAATGTAAAAATTTGAATCTATTTAAGGAAGCACTTTCTAACAATCTGTGTTCTCCAAAAATGGAATTGGCCTTCTGGAGCAGTCTAAGCACTCCAGCTTAGGGGTTGGGTGGCAATCTGTCGGGGACAGGGGAACAGGCCCAGCACCAGGGTGGGATGCGCTGCTTCGCTCTGTGACTCGGGATTGTGGGAGGAGATGAACTGATCATGCGTGGGGAGATCTGAACACACTGGGCAAAGATGAGGCCTAGATCCTCAACCTGAGGCCTGGTCTTTCCTCCCAAGAAAGTCAACAGGCAGCCATTTAAGGGGCTCTCCATGACCTCAGGGGGCTTACTTTTTCCAATTCAAAGTTATGTCCGTTTTGTGGCTTACAGGATTCTGAATTTTTTTTAAGGCAAAATATGTCAACAATGCCTAATATTATTAGAGAGGGTGTGTCGGGAATGGCTGGAAAGTCCGGTCAAAAACTCTCAGAACATCACTAAAGCACTGACCCACTCACCAGCGCCGTTTTCTTTACCATACTTAAGTAACATTTCTCAAGCAAAGAAAAAGAATACACAGGGGAGGGAATTCGGTGGAAAAAGACCTAGAATGCTAATAACAAATGGAATTTTTTCCAGCAGTCTTGGAATCTACGCTGGCCACAGACATCCTGAGAAAAGGTCCATGCGCAGCACAAAATACCTCCCAAATGACTGAAGGCTTCACCCCCTGAACAGTCAGCACAGACCTTTACGGACTGTACAAGGAGGAAGATGGGTACCCCGAAACGCATCGGGTGTGATGCCCTTCTCAGTTTTCCCATGTCTCCCTCACCCCCGCCCGCTCCAATGAAGCTAATCCTCTTCTAGTAACACAAAGGAAAGTCTACATACGCTTAGCCTAAGGGATGGTACTGGCTCACGTCCTCAGCAAACCTGAAGTGACAGGCTGGCACTGTTGGCTACAAACAACTCTATACTTACCTGAGGAGACAACAACTGTCAACTGTCAGCGCAGCTCGGCTGTCCTTCCACGAGCCTCCCTGATTATATTCCAGGGTAATAGGAAGCAGTAAGCACAGTTAGTGGGCACTGTGTGCACACTCAGGTACGGCTGGTCACCACTGTGGTAGCGATCTCCTGTCGGACCCGTGGCTATGGACTGATATGGCTTGAATGTATCTCCTTACCTGGGTCCCTTTTATGAATTTAATCCCCACTGAGAGTAGTAAGAAGGAAGAAACTGGTTCCTATTACACTACTTAGAGGTGGGGCCTTCGGGTGGCAAGGGAGACTACACAGAAGGTGTAAAAATGAATACCGGTAGAATACAAAGGGAACAATGTCAGAAGACACAGATACTACAGTTCTCTATGTCCCCCAGTCTCTTGCACAGGATACCTATACCACACTGAAACTCTGCCAAGAAGGCAATACACATATAGCCACTCGACCTCACGTAAGCCAAGTTAAGCCTTATTCTTTATAAAGCAACCTACCATCAAGGAGTTTGCTACAGTGCTAGGAAATGACCTAGTATACCAGAGGAGAAGAGTAATGAACGGGAAGACCCAGAGAATGTCATAACTGAACAGGGCTTGTGAAAGTGTCCATCTGAGAGGCTTCTGATTGCTCATCACCCCAACTACACATCAACTCACTGCCTGAAACTGGTATAAAATATCCCATCACCAAAGACAGGAACAAAAAAAAACAAAAACAAACCAAAAAGTACTGGCCTTTTCCTTCAGTATGTACAAAGACAAATGCATGAGAGTGTAAGAGAAAAGGGTTAGTGTGCTGACGGGCAAAGCTATGAAACTTGTTGTGAGTCTAAGTTGGGGTCTTCTAGAGATTGAATGTAAGGAGGCCACTGTGTAGGGGTCCACAGCACACACAAGTGTTGATTGGCCTGAGATTCCAGACTCTATCAAGTATGCCGAAAATGATAAACAGAGTCTTTAACTTGACCCCTGTACAAAACCCAAGTAGGAGGTAGTTAGCAATTAACACCTGCCCCAAAACACATTTACATATAATATTACATATAATATACCACATTATACCCCTACACAGCACACTACATATACATACACACTACACACAGCATGTTGACATACTATATCACACTCACACACTGCATCATACACAAAACACATACACGCACACACACATAACATACCACATCACACCTCTACACAGTACATCACATATACACATACTATACACAACATAACAAATACTGTATACATCACATCTCTCTCTCTCTCTCTGACACACACACACACACACACACACACACACACACACACACACACACGCTGAAGCAGCAATGCTGTCCCCGGCCTAGCTATTCCAGGTGGGGTGTGGATACTCACCTAGCGTGTCCTTGAGATTCTTTACCAGGGAGCCCTTCTTCAGGCTGTTCTTGCGCTCCACGTAGTTGGACGGCACGTAGCCTGTCCTGTTGGCTGCGTTCCTCACCCGCCACCACGTCTTGGAGTCGTCCAGCAGCCACAATCTCTCGTTCTTCCGGATGTCGAGCTCCTGGTCCTGCTGGGCCGTGTAGTCCCACTTGGCTATGACAATGACTTCTTCTGTCATCTTTCATGGAGTCCTTCTGCCAGCAAAACATTTAAAGATGCTCATTATCTACCCGCACACCTCGTCCTCTGGCGGAGCAGAAAAATCAGGCAATGACAGCTCCTGCATGGGCCCTGCCACCCGTCTCCTCCAGGCCCCCAAAACACTCGTCCCTGAAATGACCTTCCAGCAAGCTCTAGGGCTGCCGAGAAACATCTCGTCACCAAAGCCTGCAGCCCCTCTCCCTGCACTACATGAGCTGCACATTTCACCGAAGCCAGATGCAAACTTCAAAAAAAAAAAAAAAAAACACGCTCAAAATAACAATCTTATAATTAAAGTGCTCATTTGCCTAAACGACACCAGCCCCTTCTAGCTGATAGGTTTACACTCAAGCTCTCAGCATATGCTGAGGAGTTTGAAGACATTTAGCAAATATAACACACCCAAACTACTCCTATAAACTCAAATTCAAATTACTGTACTACTAACGCGCCGTGGCATCCTGAGACTGAGACGGGTGGTAAAACAGAGAAAGAAAATTGGCGGAAACACTGCTGGAACGTAAACAAAGCCTGGGCACCAGCAATGTGCCCGTGTTAATTAGTTCTGACAACTCAATGTAATATGTTATAACGCACCGGAGAATTCAGCAGAGGGGTATACGAGAATGCTCCGCACAAATCACTCTACGACTTTTCTGTAAAAAAAAAAAAAAAAAAGAAATTATTCTTGAAGACCGGTTATCCACATGAAGCTGAACTTAGATGTTTAGGCCATGTTGTTCACAACTGCCCAAACTGGGCAGCAACACAGACATCCTACAGGAGGTGACCAGATAAGCCGTCTACCTGCCTATGAAATATTTAAGTGCTGGGACAGAGCGAGGGGAAGTGCAGGTGCCTCCCAGAGTGAGGAGAGCAGGAGGGAGGCCAGGCAGGCTGGGCATGTGGGTTCCCACAAGGGGCTCCTTGGAGCAAACTTTATTGAAGACCCTGGCAACCCTGTTCTCCATGGCCTTTGTCTTCGCAGCACCCAGTGCTAGCAAGATCCTCCACCCCATACCTGATCAGGTGTGCTGCAGGTGATGTCTACAGTACCCCCTGAACTGGCTGCCTCGATGTCCCCTAACTAGTTCCTGAATAGCAATTCCACGATAGGACACTCTGGGAAAGGAAAAAAAAATAAATCTATGGCAACGCAGGACTAGTGGATGCTGGGGGGAGCAGGAGCAAGCAATGCACACAAAGTTCTTCTCAGAGCTGGAGACCTACAAGGAGAGGACCTCTAGTTCTTGTCTTGTGGCTCACACATCTGATTTCCTCTGTCAGGTAAGACCTATGAAAATCATCAGGGTAGACGTCTTTTTTTTTAAGGTCCAAGACAAGGGCAATAGCAGGAACAGAGATGAGGCTCAGAGGGGATGCCCACACCAGGTTTGCTGCTAACTTACATAATTTCCCAAACTATTTAAAACAGATCACCATTTAACTCAGTTGATACCCAGCCAACCAAAGCTCTCTACCGAATGGCCTTCTGCATTCATGGTACCAAGGGGAGGAGCTGGCCACATGCATTCTCGTGCATGCCGAGAGCATGAAGACTTATAAAAACACAGCTTCCTGCTAAGTCACAGCACAGGAGAGGCTGGAAACATGCCGCACTGGGTCAGGAATGCAGCAGGCACCCAGCGCAGCTAACCAAGAGAAAAGCCACATATGCTGCAGGCAGCAGAGCTGGGAGGCCCAGGGGCTCGGTTGCCACCAAGAGTCCCATATGCTAGACGTGGAGGTGCAAGACTTGGTGTTTGGCTGGCTGGGTTTCAGCCTTTTTTGGTGGCATCTCTCTTTGCTATGTCCCACCCAATTCTTATGCCCTGCTCTGTAATATCAGATATTGAAAAATTTTAACTTGTTCTTTTATCTTATAGAAGTTCATGCCTAAGAGTTGTCTCAAGTCTTAGAAGAAACTTTGGGTCTTTGAACGGCATTGAACTAAGACCATGAAGACTTCAAAGCTGGAATGAAGGCATATGGCCACAAACCTAGGGAGCTGGAGCTGGGGGGGGGGGGGGAGTAAAATGTTACAGTTTAAGTGTTGTTTGGGTGTCAAGTTGATAAGGGATAAACTTGTGGTGGTTAAACTGTCAACCTGACTGGACTAACAATCCTTCAGGGCGTTAATGAAGCACAGGGAGGTGTTGGGGGATATTCCTGTTTTTCCAAAGAGGCTTAGTTGAGGGAGGATCTACCTTGAATTCGGGTGCCCACGATCCATGGGCTCCTGGACTGATCACAATGAGAAGGAGGAGAAAGGCAGCCAGGCCCCAGCACTGTCCTCCCTCCTTCCCGGTCAGGCCACAAACCAAGCTGCTGCCTTAGCTTCCCTGTCATGATAGACCATGCTCCTCTGAAGAGGAAGCCAAATAAATCTTTTCTCCCTTGTGGGAGGTGGTTGCTTCCTGAGCCCTTCTTCTGGCAACTGTATCTGAGCCTCCAGGAAAGGGCCAGGTACCAAGACACCCACCCTCCCCTTCTCCACCTGCACCTCCACCTCACCCTTGCATAACTCTCAAGTGATTTTCACAGGCTTTTAAAAGGAAGCAAGACACAGAAAACTGAGGCAGAAATGTCCCAGGGAGACTCCTTGGGTCAAATCTCTGAGCATGGACACAAGAAAGTCAGTGTTCCACCTAGGACTCAGGTTCTTTAAGCCATCAGTTGGGAACCTAGGAGAGCTGAGGAACCCCTTCATGACACATTTGGCAACAATAAAAGGTTTCTGAATGTGCAACCAAAAAGTAATTGAGAATCCAGCAGGGACTAGCCTGAGGTGGTCCACGCAAACTCCCTGCAGCATGGAACGCATGGAACGTGCCACATAAACGCAGGCAAGGGTGCCCAGACGCCTCAGCTCCACCGAACTGAGATAGTCGTCCTGTCTGTACAGAATCTTTTTAGGGAAACAGAATGGTTTAATTATTGGGAGGGGGAACCTTCCTGCTGTCAGCCCTCTCTGCATGAAAGTTCCAAATTAGTATACTTTGGGGCGTAGGGCTGTATCATGTTAGAATGCTTAGTTCTGAAAATGCGGAGTCACTAGCTTGAGCGTCATGAAACACTGGCAATAAACTCAGGCTTGGTAATCGCAATAAACTTTCCAGCCATTTCAGACTTGGCCTATGACACACTTCTGCTGTTTTGGACAAGGTATGTGGAGCAGTGGTCTCAGCATTGATGATTATACAATAAAACTATCAATCAACTTGGAAAAATGTTGAAGATGATCCTGGTCCTGTAGAACTACATATGAAGTAGAGGTTTCATGCTTCCTGTGAAAAACAAAGAAGGCCATGTGCATGCAAGCTTGCTCTCCAGTGGCATGGGGCTGTAAATGGAAGAGTTTGAGAAGCCCTGCCGTGGGAAGTACATCCATCATTGAACCCACAGAACAGACACCATTCTGGGCAGCATCTTTTAGGGGAGTGAGCATCAGAGATGGAGTGGTTTGTGTGGCTACAGAGCCAGTATTTCCATCTAGGATTATAGCTCCCAAATCTGTTGGACAACACAAACTGGACTCCATGGGTAAAGGGGAGGAGGGAAAGAAGGAAGAAGGAGGAAAAGAAGAAAGAGGAGAAAGAGGAGGAGGAAACCTTAAACTTGGGTGAAAAGGGATAGGAGGATGGACAGGATGACTGGAGTATGTGTGACTACAATCCAAACATGTTATATGAAAATCTCAAAGTAAAAAAAACATTATTTAAAAAAAGAAAAATAACATTGACTTAGTTTGTTTTAATGATTAATAAAGATCTTAATAAGATTAATATAACTGCCAATCTAAACGTGAAATTGAAGACATAAGGATTTCACAAACAAAAACCAAAACATCCACATAGATGGGCAGGAGGGCAAAACAAGTCTAACACTTTATTGGCAGGATATGACTTGAAACTTTGGGGAAACGCATTTGTGTGCATGTACATATAGACACACCCTAATATGAGTGCCTGTGCGCAAGTAAATGACTGAGAGAGGGGGTACGATGGGGAGGTAAGGCCAAATGGAGACAGATGTCATCCCAATGCCAATGTTCAACATAGTCTGAATTATTCAAATCATATAACAACTTCACTGAGGGCCCCTGGAACTCTTTATTTTGTGTAATCTCTCATGCCTGGGGTGGCAGAGGACTGCACCTGGTCAGCTCCTGAAAACTCACTCAATGCAGGCTTTGGAAGACAAGGTAAGCATCCTAACACATGCAACTCTGGATCTGTTGAACTGCATGGCCAACAGGAAGCAAGGTCACTAACTCTACTCCCTCTGAGACGGGGAGATGGTCTAGATAGCCACAACCATCCTCGCTACTCTGAGCAGGAAAGTCAGAGAGAGATTTAAAGACGCCATGCTGCAGCCAAGAGATGAAGCAGTCCCCAGACACTAGAAAAGACGGTTCTAGAGCCTCCAGGAGTGCAGCCCTTGATGACATCCTGGTTTCACCCAATGAGGCTTGCATTGGGATTCTGAGGAGGTGCTGTTTTGGGGCATTTGCAGTGTGGTCATGCGCTCCCACAGCAACAGGAAGCCAACCTCAGTGGGGAGTCTTTGCTTTGGAAAGGGGAGCTTCTTTTGTTCTCCCCCATTTACTGCAGTGTTCCTGGTCCTCGGTGCACTGTCTGTGAAAAGAGCCCATTTGCATTAAAGTGACTGACTCATGAATGGGTCTTAGAAGCAACTAAAACTCTTGATTAACCTCCCAAAGTTGTGTGTAGATGGACTTGCCAAATGCCAACTCATCTGACAGCACTTGGCAGGGCCTGTGGTCTCCTGTCGGGGAACAGAAAGGCCAGTTGGTGGCTTTCTGCGGCAGGGTCACTAATTACAGCTAATACACTCCAGTCCTACCTCCAACACAATATGGGACCTAGTGGCTGTTCCAGCTCTTACTAAGCTAATTAGGCCGTGACAATAGTCAAGGTCTTACCACCTCCCTAGAACAGGAAAGTACACTACACATAAAAGAGAACATTCACAACAGACATTTCCACGTACAGCCGCAGGGGCGTGAGTACCTGGCACCACTTGCATGGTCAAGGCTTGCAGCGTGACAGTCAACTGAGACCCCAGGCACGGTGCTTCACACAGATGAGGGCAGCAAATGTTCACGAGGACCCTTTGAAATAGATGTTATCTACATATGCATTCAGAAGTGATGCCAAGTGTGTGTGTTCAGTAACTCACCCAAGTCCACAAGTCAGAGAGCAGAGGACCTTGGGTTCAAGTCCACCAGAGGGTCCCCTCTGTACTATTCTCACTGCCTGCTAGTGAGACTTGGAAGTCGAATCTTGCTGTCACTCTAAAGAATAAATCCCAGGGGGAAGATGGATGCTCATAAGCAAGAGCCGAATTCAATTTTCTTTTGATAAATGAGTAGGCAGAATTACTTAGGAGGAAACACTAGGCCCTGATCTCCTGGGGATGACTCGGGACAGGATTTGTGTTTTTAATATTTTATTAGAGAGAGGCAAAGTCTCCTGATGGGTGGGCTCAAGCTGGATGGTACGGGGCGGAAGAAGCCAGCTTGCCTCTGTGGGATATCGTGGAGAGGCTCTTTCTGTGGTTTGTTTTCTGGCTTTGTTGGATGATGGCCTATGAGGTCCCTGCTTTCATAGTTTTTCCTTCACAGTCACCAGCG